ATAACAAGACTCGTCGTTTGTTCGTCTCTACGATTCTCTATGTATCTAATATAATATAAAATAAAATCACCGTTTCATAACATTTATATTTGAAAACTAATATATATATATATATATACCGATAATTATCCCCATCCACCCCACACCTGAACAAAAAATAATTAGTTATAATGCGCAAGCTTGGTTGCCATGTTAACTCCTAACTGATAAAAAAAAACTATTATGCGCAAGCTTGGTTGCTATGGTAACTCCATATCATCGTTTCATTGTTTAATTTAAGTGCAAAGCTACACACTGAGCTCCAGTGTGTACTCACCGCAGGAATCGAATCTCGAATTTTGTCGTTACAAGCCCTCAAGCAACCAGATGCCTTTCTAAAACATATACTCTTACAACTTTGTTGTACATGAAAAAGTTAAGTTTCAGCACTATGAACGTGACATTTAACTTTACGTGAGTTGAAAGTTAAGTTTCAGCACTCTGAACGTGACATTCGACTTTGCGTGAGTTCTAAAGTTAAGTTTCAACACTGAACGTAACATTTAACTTTACGTGAGCTCTAAAGTTAAGTTTTAACACTCTAAACGTGACATTCAACTTTGCGTGAGTTCAAGACAATTCAGAGCACATATTTCCAATTCTACAACAATATTCTGCGAAAAAATATATATATGGAACTTTACATCCTGTTTTTAAAAGTTGCTTATTTAACTCTCAATATATATTTTACCTAATTGTTGCTATTTTAGCGCAAATCTACACAATGTACTATGTACTTAGGGAATCGAACCCCAACTTTCAGAGTTGTTAGTCCACAAACTCACCGCTGAACCACCGGGGAACTGACTTAAGTGAATAACAATTGATTAAATAATAAGGAATTTCTTTTTCAATATCGTTACAAAATGTGAACAGACACTGTGCTGTCTAAAATCCAGGGAAAAATAGCGCCATTTATAGTACAAGGCAATGGTGTACTTAAATATCGCCAATTTTTTATCTCCCCCCTCTCCTAATTTATTTTAAATAATCAGTGCCCCCTTTTTACAACCTTTCATTATTACCCCCTCCCCCATTTAGGTTTTAAATGTAGAATCACCTAGAACTGTGTAGCGTGTGCCACGTGCAAGTGACTCAACATTCTAGCCTAATTACGTTGTTCATACATCTGTTGATCCAATGGCAGCAGGTGCGTAGCAGATGTTTTTAATTTGAAAAATATTCTAGTAACATTGTACTTGTGGTGAAACTACTAAAGTTGTCTTCCAGCGCCCCTGTTTTTGACTAGATGGAAAGCAGCTATTCAATAACACCCTACCACCCACGCTGAGAGACTGATTGTCACTTTTATAACGCACCCATAGCTTATTAAAGTGTAGGGAATATACTGTCGGGTCACAAGTATTCAAACTCGGTTCGCCAGCTCTGAAATCCAGAGCTCTAGCACAGGGTCATTTTGTGCACGGACACCGAAGCGTGTCTCACAGTTTTAGATATTATATAATAAGTGGGGAAAAATACTTATCAAGCGAATTCCTCCCATCACTTCTGCTAAATAACATAGGGTGTAGAGTGGATATTTTTAAAATATTCAATCCTCATTCGTTTTATCAGTTTAATGAGAGGCGGGAGAGTTCCACGTTGCTATGACAACTCAATTCAAATGTATATGATTTAACGCCGGACCTCTCAGTCAACTAAAACTCTGATAGACAAAATCCACGTTGTTATGACAACGAGACATGGCGCTGGTCAGTTTATATTGTCACACAATAATACTTTGATTACTTGCAGATAGGAGATCAACCTTTAAGTAATCCGTTTTTCAGTATTCATAGCTAGACGCTTAAAATCAGCTTCGATCGTTCAGTAAAAACACACTCTATATGGTGAAACTTGTAAGCACAGTAAAATCTGGGTGGGAAAATAGACGTTTCATTCCTTCATTTCATGTACCAACAAATTACCCTACTCACACACTATGTGTGCTACCCTCGGTCGATTATAGTAATAAACACACGCTACAACCTGCACCTGACCACACGTTCAATATAACACACACACACACACACACACACACATACAAAAGCGATAAATTTCAAGTTATAATTATTTAAAATAGAATAATAAACGCAGATGTATATATATATATATATACATACATACGAACCAGAATTCTTAACCTCGCACACATCTGGAATCTTACGTTCGGCGTTGTGCGGTTAATAATCAACCGTAGTTTCTCCAAAGTCAGGTACTGTATCAATAAGCGATGTTCTTATATGAGGTAAATCCAACCATCGACTTCCCTTAAAACTACTGACAAGAAACTAAAATATATTTCAGTACTGTTCTTTCTCGCACGAGTTTAGGAACGTGTCTCACAACGAGAGAGACGTTTTGCAATTACGAACCAATAGAGTTGGGCTGGACATGTTGCTGAGACAGCAGGCAAAATATGGGCCAGCAGGATACAACTAATTTGTTTCCCGAGGCTCTTTTTATATATTATTATTCTGCCCCCCCCCCCTACGATAAACTAAATCGAAGCTTGAATATTATCAAAAAGTACTTACAACAGACGAGAACTTTTTATAGGTCACTTTCATCTATTTCTGTTAAAAAATATGGTTATTGTGAAAGATATATATATAAATATATAAATAGCTCTAAGTACAGTCGATTCACAAACTTGATAATTTCAACAGAAAATGAATTAAGGGTGGTGGTCTTGTAGAAGAATCACGAAACAAGTAATAATAATAAATAAATCAAAATAACAAGCTCAGGCAAACAAAGGTGTGAAAAGAACAAAACGTATACTTTATTGAGGTAGAATAACACAGGCTTATATGACAATACATACACTTTCAGTCGGAACTATACTGGTAATAATGGTTCACGACATAAAAGTATTCTACGCTCCATGCATCACCGTAAACATATTCGTGCTTTAAAAAAAAACTTTAGTTTCATGACACATGCTTTGGACTAGATACAATTACTTCGCCACCTATCTGTTCGCAAAGTTGTTACATTGTGAATAATTCAGGACCTCATCGTTCAAAGCACCATAGAAATAATTAGACAAAAACAAGAATATCAACTTATGCACATTTCTCTAGATTTATTACAACATGTGACATAAAAAACAGGAGCTGATGTGGTTACTGATCGCATGTGAATGACAACAGGAGCTGATGGAGGTTACTGATCGCATGTGAATGACAACAATAGCTGATGTAGGTTACTGATCGCATGTGAATGACAACAATAGCTGATGGAGGATACTGATCGTATGTAAATGACATATTTGTGCAATGAAATAAATGGTAACAGTACGAAGGCTCGCTGGTCCGAAAAGTGGAAACCAATCTTTATTTTTTGTATTTATGGTAAAGCTAATTATACTAAGGCTATATGTTGCTGTCTCTAATTTTGAACTACTGGCTAAAGGGAAGGCAGGTTGTCTGCAACACCCTATAATCCACGCTAAGGGACTGACAGTTATTCTTATAACGCACACACAGTTTTAAAGTTCGTGTATTATTTTATGGTATCGCACGGATTCAGCACTGGCTCAACAGTTCCAAAATCCAGAGATCTACTGAAAAAAATGAAAGTCTATATGAAATGTGTTATCAATGGCTTTGAAAAACAATATGAGTTAGAATACTTATTAGAAAATTACTATTCCACAATATGAATCCGCATCAACACTCGCAGTGCAAATTGCCATTTTCGCTGTATTTTACATCTCATCTAAACTGTTCAATATCTAATACCCTAGCATATCGTGTGTATTGCAACAAGAAAAACAAAACAATGGCACTTTAATACGAAGAATACCGAACAGACCAATTTTAATCGGACCAATGAGCCTTCGGACAGTCCCTTAGTAAAAGATGGTTAGCACGCTCTCCTCCTCTACAGTCTATGTTAGGTCTTTTATATTATCTATAAATGTTTTGTTTTTTTGTACCATATGTCTGTGTTGTTTTTAGCATAATTGTTTGTTTGTTTTTGGTAATTTGGCGCGAAGCTACTCGAGAGCTATCTGCGCCAGCTGTCTTTAATTTAGAAGTGATGGATTAGAGGAAGGTAGCTAGTTAACATCAACTACCGCCAACCCTTGGTCGTCACATAATAACGTCCCCACAGCTGAACGGACAAGCATGTTTGGTGACGCAGATTGCGGGATTCGAATTCGCGACCCTCAGATTGTGAGTCGAGCACCCTACCCACTAGGCTGTATGTGTTATATCTCTGGTTATAACTACCAAGTGTGTGTGTGTTATTGTGTAAGATTACAATGTTAAGATTAGTAAGAACCGTGTTTATTAAGATTAGGCCTACCGTAAACTGAAACTTAAGAAACTGGTTACCAAAACACGAGTGATACTTCTTGACCACATAACATGACGATGCTAAGACAATATTCACGTTGATTGTCTTCAGACCAATAATCCTGTCCCCCCTCCTGCCTCTACACACACACCTGTACGGTTTACTACCTTTCGAACACTTCTTTAAAGCAAGTGATATTTTTGTTGTGAACGCCGATTCGCACGTTATTTCACCTACATGTTAGTTCAATGTTTAGTTACTGTTACATTAATAATAGTCAAGGTGTCTCGCCTACACGTTAGTTCAACCCTTGACTGTTACATTAATAATAAACAGACGAACTAACGTGTAGGCGAGACAAAACACCTTGACTGTTACATTAATAATAAATAGACGTTCATATATGGCGGAGAGTCTGTTGAATAGCCGAATACAATACCATACAGAATAATATTGCTTGCTCCAATTATGCTGATCTCCCGGTGGTTTAGTTTACAGATTAACAATACTAAAATCCGGGCTTCGATTCCCCGAGGTTGAAAGTGCGCAGATAGCCCAATTTGTAGCTTCGAGCTAAAACAATAACAACCGATGATGCAGAGGTTTTTTTGGTTTTTTTTTCCATTATAAACTAAATCACCAGAAGTGGAAATTCCCGAAATTTGAGATTTAAAGAAATAATAATAACCACACAATAAAACTACAAATTAATAGACACAATTTTTGGCAAAATAATCAAAACAACATACTTGAATACTATAAATAAACTGGGTTCATTATAATCGTGGGTAGATCTTTAATTAACTGGGTTTATCTCAATGACTTATTCAGATTTCTCAACCAAAACAAGACTCGTCCCAGTAAATGTTAGTAAGAAGATGGTGGTTATATTCAACCGTATATATCAAGCAATGTTATTCTGTATTGTATTGTATTCGGCTATTCAACAGACTCTCCACCATATATGTATATATCAAGCAATGTTATTCTGCATTGTATTGTATTCGGCTATTCAACAGACTCTCCACCATATATGTATATATCAAGCAATGTTATTCTGTATTGTATTGTATTCGGCTATTCAACAGACTCTCCACCATATATGTATATATCAAGCAATGTTATTCTGTATGGTATTGTATTCGGCTATTCAACAGACTCTCCACCATATATGTATATATCAAGCAATGTTATTCTGTATGGTATTGTATTCGGCTATTCAACAGACTCTCCACCATATATGTATATATATATACATGTTTGTGTGTTTAGTTCAAAAATTATGTCAACAATCTATTGACTTGAAGCTAAGACAAATGTATACTGACAAATGTTAAAACACTGAAAGTATGTAACTATGTTGAATGTTATAAAGGAACTAGGTCAGATTATTTGAAATCTTTGTGCAACATTTACGCTGGCAGTTGTTACATTTCATTGACGGGTACTGGTCAATAATTCACAGATCTTTCCACAAGCTTGTAGTGCGGAGTGACCTGAAATTTTAGATTTAACGGGAAAGGGAGATTTTATGAGAAATGGGGTAGAAACTGGGTTTGTTAGAGAAAATGGGGTAGTTTAGCTGGAAAGCGAGAATCAAATGAAGTGTGGTAACATACATCTGTGGTGAGTGACTCATTCATTTCGGAAACCCCTGCTCTCTGTCTCTTCACCCACTGTATTTTGTATTTTCCACGTGCCGACCACTCCTACCTTTCCGTGTATTCTCCCACCAGCTGCGACCAACCCACCCACCCACTCCTTTACAGTGTTATAAACCTCGTTTTGAAAGTTTTTAGACCCTATCAATGATCCCTTATCTTCCCAAACTTGTCCAGTAGTAAACATCAGACATTGTAAGCTGGAATAGATATTGGTAGCGACGTATATGAATGTTTTGAATGAGTGTACTTGTCTGTGTGTGTTTTGATACATGTAATTATTTAGATGAATATTAATGAATTATAACATAATATAGTTTTCTTACAAGGCCTAAAAAACAATTTTAGGAGAAAAAATTAATATATGTATATACTTTGTAAGACAGGGAATCGAACCCTCTCCTTGTAAGAACCGATTAGGCTAACAGCAACTTTAAAATTCCTAACAACGATTGAAAACTTGATTTCATTCGGACATGTAATTATCATCGTTTTAATTGATACAAGTTTGTGCACCTAGTGTTTCGTGTTGCTAAGCAACTCCAACTGATATGGTTTATTTTCAAATTCTGCATTTCACATACTTTCAAGTACGTATTAAAACTTCAGAATCGAACCACCCCATGTCTCGGATGTTGGCTACATATGAATAAAATAGTACATTAAAAAATGTTAAGGAAGTTGTTTCCAGGCTACCTAGAAACATAGAGTTGTCAAGAAGGTGTTTACTATTGGATGAATCGCACTTTTTATAATGTAAAACGTGGTACAGTGAGAGGAGAGCGTGCTCAGTAGCAATGACATATGTCAAAAAGTAACCTGATATTGTTTCTGCTTTCTTTTCTCTTTCTTAAATAAAAAATAGTTAAACAGTTAAGGAATAAATATTTGAAAATGGGTCTTTTTTTTCCATTGAACTTGCTTGGTTAAATAGAATTAATCCACACATTTTAAAATAGGTTAAAATTAAAACTCATGCATGATAAACAATTGAAACTCATGCAACTACATACACAATCACTGAATGTTCTGTTTTGTACTCAGCACACTACACAGTATTTAAAAAGTAGAAACTAAATTCTTGGGTGTGTTTTTTTTTAAAGCAAAATATGATCAAACACATTTGAGCTAAAACAAGTATATGATAAATCATTAAACATTCCCAGAAATATTTTGGTTTTCTAATTTAAATTTGTAAGTAAAAATAAAAACATGCAAACCCAAAAACTGTGGTTTGATGAAGATGATGCTTTGGTATTTTTGTTAATTTTAATTTACTGATAAAAATTATCTTGTTATACTGTACTAAGGTAAACAATTTTTCCCACAAAATTATAAAGAAAAAATAAGTCTACTTGGACAGATCCAGAGACAACAGAAGTTATTTTAAAAAATGTACAGCTGCTAAAAATATATGTGATTACCTGATAGTACCATGTGATCAGCACGAAACAATACCTGGTATTTTAGTACTTGTCTAAGAGGGTTCATGTACTGGTTGAATGTTCATTAAGCACATATTATCAAACAGAGATCCCAAACATGACATAAAACTGGATTTCTACATTGCTTAGCATCCCAAACATTACAAATCAATTGATTTCTACACTGTTTAGAATACGTTACAGGTCACTGTATGACCAAACAAAAATCCAAAACAGGATCACAGTAACCTATATATACATATATATAAATGGAACTTCACAAACACTTAACACATCCAAAACATCTTTTCCTATAACAAGATAATTAAATAATTTTAAACCTAAAACACAAATGTACTTTTTGGTATCATTTGCTGAATAATAAATTTACTAGTTCCATTTGTGATTAGTAGTACACCAGCAACAAGGTGGGGTTTTTAAATTCAACAATATAAATCTCATCTCATTTTTTTTTGTACCTTCACCCATTGATAAAAATATTTACATTTAGGTGAACCTGACTTAGTGTGCATTTTTGATCTAAACATAACACAATTTTAAACTCATGCTTGACTGTAAGTGTTTTCTTTTTAATTCTTCTAAAATTATTCTTTCAAAGATTTTTAATTAGAGCGATGTAAATATTAAAAAAAGGACCAAAAAAAACTACAGTCAGGCATGATTTTAATCATATTGTTGAGCTTTAATGCTTCAGTGATTTGCTGCCTTAGGCATCTTAAGCGACTACATAATACCATTTTAATGTTTAGCCACAAATTTCAAAGTAGTTTTAATTTCAGTCTTTTTATTTACAAGGGTTTGATCTTAATTGTTATTTTTTTACTTGAATTTTGACTTTTAAGGCTAATTGACTTGACATTTAATATACATATGATATCATAATTAATGACATACTTTTTGTGTGTGTAATCAACTATTTTATAATTAATCTATAAAAAGTATAAAAATCAAAACAAAAAGTTACAAACTCACAAGTTTCAGTGGTTTAAATGTCAACATTCTAGTAAATGGTGTTGATCTTCTTTGGTTATTAAGGTCACAATGGCATTCCAATTTTCTTTGGTTATTAGGACTACAATGGGGGTTTCTATCATTTCTTGGTTAATAGTGTCAAAAGTGGCCTAAGTTTTCTTTACTTATGCTGAATGATATGACTAGTTCTAAATCAATGGTGAACTTAAACAAAGAAAATGTTGATAAATCAGGTAATTCTAATTTTTACATCTATACTACATACAGGAAATTAAATACGTGGATGCAATACACAATGTAGAAATCCATTTCATGTGGGAATGAATACACATAATTTTTTTTAAATACTTATTCCCCACCTGCATAAAGATATAGAATAATTTTTAAGGTTATACATATTTCACACATAAACACTTCTCTTACACAACTATATCTTTACACTTTGCAAGTGTTTACTCCAATATATTTCTTAATAAATAGAATTAAAAGTATTTATTATATTTCTTCTAATATACTCATATCCCTGACTTCAATGAATGATTAACACTTGGAAATTTTTGATTGATTAAGTGGAATTTGTTGTTACCTAGGTAACACAACACTAACCTGACAACTACTTGGTTTAACCAATAACCCATACCTGACATATACCAGTGGATTATTGTCATAATCAGAAGAAAAGCTTTCTTCAAATTGCCATCAACTTTTTATATTGCATCATTTTGTCACAATGGAGGCAGAGGCATGTTGAATCTGTCCTAATCACACAAGATCTTCTGGTCAATTTGATCGTATTTACATAAAAAAGACACTGAGTTGGCTGAGGACAGTATACACAGGTCAGTTCCAAAACTCGTTTCATGATAGGGGCTTGCTTCTTCTTCAAACAAGATGCTTTGAGCATTTCCATGTATTTGATCTGCTAAGGTTATCTTTCGGGTGCTCCATATCTGACGTTCACCACAGTACTGGATATACATGCACAGATTCACACACACACACACAAAGAAAAAAAAATTAAAAAGGAGAATGAAAAAGAGAGAACCAGAGTTCAAAACTGTACAAAGTCAAAAACCCCAACAAACAAACAAACAAACAGCAGCAAGGTACCCGTAATGACTGTCATCAGTGATATGACAAGACACACCTGTGAAAAAGCAGCATTATCAACAAGTAGAATTTTGATTTTCTTTTCATTTGAGACTGATGACAAGAAAACAGCAAATTGCACACAAAAACTAAGAATGTAAATATCCTCACTAAAACTTTTGATTATTGGTATTACTTTTAACAATCTACACAGATTGGTTCCATCATTGCAACTCTTCACATGATTTGGTTCTCATGCAGGAGTCAGAGAGAAAGCTACAGTCATGGGCTGAGATATCTTCTGGCAAACAGGGAGGTATACAAGGGATGGAACAAAGTTATCATTTTTTATATTTCCATCCATTTCTGGCTGGGCCAAGAAAAAGGGTTGCATGATGAAAGTGCCAGTGGTATGGGGGCTATGTGGCATGGCATAACTCATAGGAGGTTGCCCATGTGTACCATGACCAGTCGAAGGTAGATCTGGTTGAAAAGGAAACTCTCTCAGTACAGGTTCTGTTAAACTTTCTGATGCAAACTGTCTGTTAGTCAGAATACTGGCATCTGGAATGAGAGAATGTTGTATTTCAGCCCTTCTCAAGATTTCAGGACTATTCTCATGCTGTTTGTTGATATGTAGCTTTAACATATTCCAGGCTCTTGCAATAAATCCACAGGCAGGGCAGTGGAAGGGTTTCATTACTTTCTGCTGATTCAAAACTAACTTCTTGCTGTTATGAAAAGCATGAATGTGTGCTAGGCAAAGCTCTCGGGTGCGAAACTTCTTATCACACTTGCTACACCGATACCTCTTTACCTTTATTCGTGGCTTTACCTGATTGTGTCCATTTTCGTTCTGAATGTTTTCCCCCTTCTTCTGCTCTCCATTAGTCTGAGTAAATATCTGTGATGTTGTTTTTTGTGGATGAGTTAAGTCTTTTGCAGAAAATCCTACTGTTCTATGACTCAGGAGGTGTCGCTGAAGAGAGTGGCTGTATCGGTAGGCTCTGTGACAGATCCTACAGAAAAACTTTTTTTCACCTTCAACAATCATTGTTGTGTGTCTTTTTTCATGAGCATACAAGTTTGACAGCCAGCGAGTGGTGTAAGTGCAATATGAGCAGTGATGTAACTTTGTTTCTCCTTCCTTTCCCTCTAGAAAATCCAGACTCATAGATGTTGCTCTTGGTGATACACTACCATTAACAGGATTATCAAGCTGATCTTGGATCATCACCCCAGAGGAATCTTGGGTTATTTTCATCCCTGAGTTACTGGTGATTCCCAACTCTTCAGTTGATGTGCGGTGATCCTTGATCAGGTGAACTTGCAAAGCAACTTGATCAGCAAAGCTCTGGCCACAGATGACACAAACAGCAGCCATCTCGTTAATACCCACATTTTCAGGGCTGCTCAAAATATCCTTTTTAGCAGAATTGTGATCATTGATGATGTGGGTTTTTAACCATTTGATGCTTTTGAAACGACGATCACAAAGTGGACAAATTTCTGTATAGTGGCTGAAATGTCGGCTATCAACTAACTCTCCAGGCAGTAGATTCTGGTTGCTAGAGCCTGCTAGTTGAAAAGAAGACTGACATGAGCTTTCTTTATTTGGAGGAGGCTCCTCATATATTCCATGAGTGTTTTGCTTGTGAACTTTGAGAAAGTACTTGCTACAGAGTTCCTTTTGACAAACATCACAAGTAACACCTCCAATAGTGCTAATCTTTGCTGCTTCAGTTGGCTGTTCATTAAGATCAACTCCATGCATCTTTAACATGTGAGTTTTCATGAAGTATTTGTTGCACAATTCCTTATTGCAAATGTTGCAGAAGTTGGAACCAGTGAGGACTTTTGTTTTGTTGTTTATTGTTGGAGAAGGAATAGGTTTACTTGTGCTAACTGGTTGGGGGGACTTTAGAGAGGATTGGTCACATGTCCCACTGTTATCATCTACTGGAATGTTGTGAGTATTTTGCTTGTGAACTCTTAGGAAGTACTTACTAGAAAATTTCTTTTGGCAGATTTCACAAGAAGCTTCCACATCATGAACTGCAACAGAAGGTGGTGATGGTAGTGGATGAAATAAGGATTGCTTAAAATGCATGATATGATCTGTTATTTTCTGTGTTTCCAAGGAAGTTGCACTATATCCATCTTCATTTAATAAAAATCCATGCTCATTCATCATGTGTGCTCTAAGGTAATATTTGCTATCAAACTGAAGACTACAAATACCACATGCTACTCTGTTATCATTGATTCTTAAAGGTGCATTCAATTCCTTGATCATGGTTTGTAATCTCTGTAGGTCCTGACCAGAAGACTCTTCAGGGAAAGATGTGCTGCTTGTAACCTGCTGCTGAGACACTTCTGTAGTAGTACAATTTACAGAACTGCTAGTAAGGGGTTGCTGTGGATCTGCTGGAGAGTTTGGTTTTGAGTTCTCTTCTTCTTTGACCTGTGGAATGTTATGAGTGTAAAACATGTGCATTTTCAAAAGATACAGACTAGCAAAAGGGCGATTACAGAGTTCACAGACTGACTCCACACCTCCTGGTCCACATACATACACGTCTTCTTGTTTACTATGAGATTCTTGTAGTACAGTTCCTGGAATGCTACTAGAAGGAAGGACTTGACCTGCTTCAGAAAGGACTGGGGAGTAGGTGTTTTCCCCACCAGACTGTCCATCTTTGCTACTGGATTCTGAGATATTGATACTATGTTTTTTAATTCTATGGATGCGCAAGAAATATTTATTACAAAACTCTTTACAGCACAATTCACAAAATGCATCTGCATTGATTACACCAATCTCTCTGAGCTTGTCTGGAGTAAAAGTTGTTGCACCTTTTTCACTGTTTGAGGAGTCTTCTTTCGGAGGAAGAAGGGTCTTGTTTGTTGAATTAGTTGCTGAGGTAGTGACAGTTTCAACAGAAGAACTTGGTTTAGGTAGCATATTTTGATTAAAGCAAATGTTATTTTGTACACTGAATGAAGTGGAGAAAGTATGCTTGGATGATTCAGTTCTCAAAGCAGCTGGTGAAGTATTATTCTTCTCAGGTGAAATTGCATTGTTGTCACTGGTTCCTGAAATCTTTTGGCTTTCTTCAATACCATGAATTCTGTATTTATGTTTTTTAAGAAAATATTTATTACAAAATTCCTTTTGACAAATTTCACAGTAGGCTTCTATGTTCATGATTCCCTGCTGTGGTGTGGGTGGTCTAGTTGGAAGATTCTGTAATAAGGGTGGGGGAAGAGGAATTGGGTTGGTCAGGTTGTTGCTTATAAATGTTCCAGGATATGAAGGACTGACCAGTGACTCTACAGAGTAAATTGCATGCTTGTTAGCCTTGTGGGTTTTAAGGAAGTATTTATTACAAAACTCTTTATTACACATCTCACAATAGGCCTCAGGGTTAAAAATGCGATTGCTTGGGTTTGAACTGTTGGGAGCTGCAGAGTTTTGTCCTTGGAGCTGAGGAAGTACAGGGAAGAGGAATGGTGCAATGGAGTTTGGAAACATGTTCAGAGAAAGAGACATATTTGATGGCTTTCCATCTGCTGAGTGAGATATGGGTATCAAAGGTGGCATGCTTGGAAATAAAGAGTTCTTTGTAAAATCCCTACTTCCAAGAGAACTGGTGCTGGCATATGAGATTGGCATGGTGGATAATCTTTGATCATTAAACAATGTGAATGATGAGGCTTCAGTGGTCCTGACTGATTCTGAATTTCCTTGGGATTCAGAGCTACTTGCTTCCCTGCTATTTAATGAGGTAGATTTGTTATGAGACTGCTGATGAAGCTGCTTTTCTAGCAGTTTCTGGACATGTTCTTCTTCAACGTGGACACGTAAGAGTTCCTCACTCTGAAATAAACTACTGCAATGGTGACATTTCAATAATGATTCTGGGTTTTTGTCTGACTCTTTAGAAGTATTTTGGTGTTTAATTTTCAGGTTTAAGGCCTCATCTGAAATTGCTGAAGCCAATTCCTCTCTCTCATCAGTGTCAGGCACCTGTGTTGTGTGATACCTTACTGGATTACTTTGTTTGCGTCTTTTCTTTGCCCGTTGTTCCACAAATGCTGTAGATGTAAATGCAGACCCAAATTCATTAGTTGGGTCCATGCTGTTTCCATCATCATCTCCTGAATAGTCTAGAGCATCTGCTTGTAAAGAGCCATAAGCAATGGGGCTTTGTTCTAGCATTGGAACATTGTTATATGAGTACAGTGTGTCAAAATGGCTTTCTTCCATTCTTGTTGGCTCTTCCATGTTTAATCTCCTAGTCCTCCATTTAAGTCTTGAAGTACAGTAAGCCTTACATGAGGAACAAAGTTCTTTATTGCAAATGGGCAACTCTATCCATACTTATTGTTTTATTTTCTAACTGCAGGTCCTGTAAAACATAAGGAAAAAACACATATGAGCTAATAAAATAATTTTTACAGGGATACAATCAAAGTAATTTTGTAAGTTGTCCAAACTGAAAAATATTATAAACTCACTCTAGTTGAAAAGAAAACCAATAATAAATATCATAATTCACTATGTCTTGGATGGTTGGTTACAAAATTGAACTGGAAAAAGTATTAATAGTTCTCACATTATTGAAACCTAACCCAATGTTGTAAGTCATTATGTCTTGGATGGTTGGTTACAAGGTTGAACTGGAAAAAGTATTAATAGTTCTCACATTATTGAAACCTAACCCAATGTTGTAAGTCATTATGTCTTGGATGGTTGGTCACAAGGTTAGGTTAGCTTCATCTAGGTTTGGATATTTTACTGGAGCCTTAGGTTATTTGACACAAATACATACCGTCTATAAAATATTAAAAATATGCTTCACATTACAGTTTTCTGGTATAAACTTGAAAATACCTGCAAAAACTTAAAACCATTTACATTAACAAAATTGATTTGTTATTAGGAACTCTTATGTAGTATAGGGCAGAGACTTTTATTAAGAATAATTTGTATAAGCCTAGATAACACAATAAAGAGTGAAAAGTCAAGATACATCTGCTATAAAATGAATGAAACAATTTTAAAATCTTCCTCTTTTTAATTTTGTTTTTGTCTACAGTGCTAAATATCTAGTTTACTGAAGCTTGAATGTATTATATCACCTGAAACTATACTTGTCGTATTATAGCAGCTTAATGACGTGTATGTGTCAGCATACAATAAATATCTAGTTTACTGAAGCTTGAATGTATTATATCACCTGAAACTATACTTGTCGTATTATAGCAGCTTAATGACGTGTATGTGTCAGCATACAATAAATATCTAGTTTACTGAAGCTTGAATGTATTATATCACCTGAAACTATACTTGTCGTATTATAGCAGCTTAATGATATGTATGTGTCAGCATACAATGAAATGTAAAGAAACTTTGTAGCTTAAACATCTTTAATCAAAAATAATTTTAAAAGATGCAAAAGGTGACACCAGGTTATATAGATTGGAAACCACTTAATAGCATGACTGAAGAAAAGGTTCTTGGTGGACATTTTACTTAAGCCATCGAGGCAATGCTTTGTCTCTTGTAGTAAAGCAAATAGGGTATATTTATAGACATACTTATTACAAGTTAAAACAGGATTATCTCTCTTTCCAAATCACTTGTTAGACTTCACTTGAAATGCCATATACAGTTTTTGTCTCCTTATCTAAGAAATTATTGGAAAGGGTTAAGAGAGGAGGCCCACTAGGATGATTCCAGGGATGAAAGGGTTAAGAGAGGAGGCCCACTAGGATGATTCCAGGGATGAAAGGGTTAAGAGAGGAGGCCCACTAGGATGATTCCAGGGATGAAAGGGTTAAGAGAGGAGGCCTACTAGGATGATTCCAGGGATGAAAGGGTTAAGAGAGGAGGCCTACTAGGATGATTCCAGGGAT